GGAAGGAAGGAAGGAAGGAAGGAAGGAAGGAAGGAAGGAAGGAAGGAAGGAAGGAAGGAAGGAAGGAAGGAAGGAAGGAAGGAAGGAAGGAAGAGGGGAAGGAAGGAAGGGAGAGAAGAGGGTCATTGAAACATTTTTTAAATGTATAGGAAAAAAACCTGAAAAAAATCACAGACAAGCAGGACACCATTTACATAGCACTTTAAGATTTGCGAAGTACTTTATATATTATCTCATTTGATGCTGATAACAGCTCTGTGAGGTAAGTTATTTTACTATCCTCCCTCACTTCATCTTACATATGAGAAAACTGAGGCAATAGGTAAAATGACTTGGCCAGGGTCATACAGTTAGTAAATGGACTGGGGCAGGAGTTGAACTCCAATCTTTCTGACTCCAGGTCCAACACTCTATCCACTGAGTCAGCTAGGTATTGAATGTATTATATATATTTTAACACAAAAGAAGTTGTGCATAATAAATATTCTTAGTAGCTTCTACAATGCTCATTATCTATTCTACCATATACAATGGAAATGTCCATTTCATTTGGCTTTTGTTAAGTTTAGATTTTTAAAAAATCAAGCCAAAAAAAAAGGAAGGAATGTTCATAAAAAGCTACTATAGCCTCATCAAGAATGGGTTGTAATACAGTAATGTAATTTCTATTTTTCACATCAAAATAGGCTTCTAGATTACTGTATAACTGTAGATTTAATATGCCAGCATCCTACCGAAGCATTTAGCTAGGTTGCTCACGGAATTTGGGGGAAAATATGGAGAGATGTAGGCTAGCAGAATTACATAAATTCTGAACTCAGTAATGAGAAGATATTAATAACAGACATTAATCTTCCAGCGTTAACTTGGAGTGAATCGTCCTAGACATCTGTACAACCCCCTGTGCAGTTTGACATTTTTATTTATGGTTTCCATAAATTCATGCTTATCACATCTGCAAATGCCACCAGGCTGGGAGAGGTTGCTAATAAAGGGGGTGAGAGTATTCAAAACAGCTTGACAGTCTATAATATCAGGCTTTTTTTCAAGATGATATTTAGCAGGGATATATATATATATATATATATATATATATATATATGTATATATATATATATATAGTCTTATATCTGCATTTTAAAAAAATCAGTTTCACTCATATACGGTGGAAAAGCAAGGTTAAACCGAAATTTAATTGAAAATTATTTGGGGAGCGGTGATTCAAACGTGGTGTGAAAGCCAAGGAGATGACTGCAACCTCAGCAGTAAAAGAGGTACAGAGCCCAGGAGGGAGGAAGGAGCCCTGGCGCCCCCTGGCGGCTGTCTGCGGCCGCCGCGGGCCAGGGGAGGGGGGTGGGGCTGACGGAGGGAGGGAGGGGGTGGGGCTGGAGGCGGAGGCGAAGGCTGGCTCCTCTCAGAGGCTGGACCTCCGGGAGTATCTCCCTGAGCCCTGAGGAATTAATCTAGAAGTGAAAATGATGCGCAGTGCCGTGACCTGCTGGTCCAGGCAGGACCGTGGGGGAGGGAGACAGGAAGAGCGCCCTGAGGGCAGCGAAGAAAGCCTCTGAGGGGCTGCCTGGAGAGAGAAAAGAGGGAGGGAGGGAGGAAGAGAGGGAGGGAGGGAGGAGGGAATGAAAGGAGGGAGGAATAAAGGAGAGAAGGAGGGAGGAAAGAAGGAAGGAGGAAAGGAGAGAGGAAGAAAGGGAGGGAGGAGGGAATGAAAGAAGGAAGAGAGGTGAGAAGGAGGGAGAGAGAGAAGAAAGAGAGTGAGAAAGAAATGAAAGGAGGGAGGGAGGAGAAGAAAGGAAGGAAGGAAGGGAGGGAAGGAGAGAAGGATGAAGGAGGGAGTGAAAAAGAAATGGAGGGAGGGAGGATCTGGATCTAAAACTCAGCTGTAACAGTTCATAGCTGTGAGAACTTTTCAAACTTCAGTTTCCTCTTCTGTAAAAATGGGTAAAATGATACTTAATCTATCAAAGGCTGTTCTGAGAAAAGTGCATTGTGAATTTTAATGCACTATATAAATGTGAACTATCATCCGCTCCATGAGGGCAAGGATTATGTCTTATTAAATAGCTTCATCCGAGGGAAGAATAAGGACAAGAAGACCAAGGAAGAAATTATTATAACAGTCCAGACAAAAAGAGATGAGCACTTGAACAGAGAGATAATGGGAGTAGGAAAGAAATCAATGGAAGAAATAATTCAGGGCGACTTGGTAAATGAGGAGCTGTGGAAAGTAATGGAGAGGGAAATATGCCCTCCAAGATTTCAAGCCTGGATAACTGGACTTACATTATCATGAACCAAAATAGAGACAGGTGGGCAAGAGGGCAGATAAAGAATTCAATCTGGGGTATACTGAGTTTAGGGTGTCAGACATGCAGCATGTACTTGGAAATAGCTGGAACTCTGGTATGGAGTTGGTATTAGGTATGTGTATATGTATGTATACACACAATACATGGATACATATAATGCACACATGCATGCATCTGCACATATACACACAAATTAAATATGCATATATAATCTGCATACTGCAATAGATGCACATATGTGTGTGCTTGCATGTACATATATCTATTGCATGTGTATTTAAATTCCTATATAAATATACAGTTATAGTTATATTCTGATATTAATACATATTATATATGTAACATATAATTTAAGAGTTATGTGGAGGTGATGAGAGGCAGTATGGTATAGTAGCTAGCAAGTTAACTTCAGAGTTAACTTCAAAGACCTGAGTTTGAATCCTGCCTCTGGAATCCACATACCGGATGTGTGAACTTGAACAAGCTAGTGAACCTCATAGAATGAATCCCCAGGAACTCTCTAACGTAATAATTGTAGAACAGTTTCTGGTTTCGTTATCAGGCATTCCCTATACCAACAAAATCACAAATCTTGACCCTGCTCCCTCATCAAAGTGAATAATTAATATTAAATTTCTTATGTTAATAACAATGTGTTACAGAAAAATTTCTTTCGCATCTTTAACTCAGCATAAAAATACATATAAAATACCAAGTAATTCCCATGTTTATTGGATAGTGTTATCAGGGCAAGTCAAGAAAGTATTAACTGCTCTGATATGGGTACAGAGAGAGAGAGAGCATAGGATCAAAAATGAAAGTATCATTATCGCCTTGGGATCCGATGTTCTAAAAGACTCAAAGGGAATTGATACTCTCAAATATTTGTGGGAGTAGATGAGATCATCAATAATAATCATTGGTATTTATATAGTCCTTTAAAATGTGTGAAGCACCTGACATACTTGACCTCATCTTAGTTTCACAGCAATTCTGGAGTGCATGCTTCTCCCCATTTTACAGATGAGTCAGTTCAGGCTCAAAGTTAACTGACTCATAATCACTTAGTAAGTGTCCAAGGTCCAATACTATCCACTATCTCACTCTGCCTAAGTGAGAGAGTGTAGAGAAAAGAAACATTGAGGGACAGAACCCTAAGAGACAAGTCACATTTAACGGGTGAGAGGAGAAATCTGAAGGAGAGAAATTATTCTCCTTATACACTCTGAGATGATTCTATTTGTTGTAACCTTTGGTTTTTAGGGAATAGTCAAAAGAATCAGACTGGAAAGTTATGATGTTTTGTTTCTGAACTAGCTGTTTTCCTCTATTTAATTTAAATTATTTTAAACCTTCAATTCTGATAACATTTTTGGTATGTAATCCTTCCTATTAAGACAATGTAGTCAGGGTGATGTAATAAAGTACTAAATCTGGGCTTCCCTGAAATTTTAGAATCTGAGTCACAGACTATAATGATAATGATGGGGCTGATAAAAATAAGTTTTTAGTGCTTTTTTTTAAAGCTGAAATGATTACCTCCAAAGAGACAAAAAGGGGGTGGGGTATAGTTCAGAGATCCAATACAAATGAAGTCCTAGAAGACAATGTCAGGAGCTATGGGTTAGAAATCTGTCCCTATATCAACCTGTATGCTCTGATATAAAATAAGTTAACATTTTATTTTATTCTTCTAGTCAGTGACAGCAATAGAATGGAAGTTATTTAAAAATTAGTGAAAAGGCACAATTGTTTGTGAAATGAAAACAACAAATTATTGTCTGAATTTAAGTGAAAATTTTTTGTGTGAGAATAGAAACTATTGTAATTATTAATTAGTAATAATTGTTATTATTAACAATTAGTAACTATTGTTTGAAAAGGGAGGAGAACAAAGGGTTTCATTAAATTAAAAACATGTGGATAATCATCAGTGTCAAAAAGGTACAGCATACACCTTTTCTGGATATTATTACCTTTATTACAAAACATTAAATATATCCTGTGTCGAGGTAACATTCCAAAGTGTACATAACAAGTTCAGTTAGAGTCTATATACACAGCTTTTATTTGCTATGAGCAAAAGTTACAGCTGGTCACAGAGTTTCAATTCTGGCATTGCACATAATCCAAATTAAGGAACAGAAGCTCAAATTATGTTAAATACATAATTTAACAAATAAAAGGGAATCTTAGGAACTCTCATAGCCCATTCCCACACGCCAGTGGTCCAGAATAACTCCTTTTAACATTGATGTTTTACAGAGAACCATTGAAAAGGAGAAAATGGTTGACAGAAAGTTTTGTTCATTAAACCAAAACACAGCTATCCTAGAATTTTTTAATGTATTCTCCAACCAAATATTTAATCACTTAAAACTCACTTATGAAAGAATCCTGATCTTATGGTATTTCTTCAAAACGCAAGTTATAAAGCTATGACACAAAATCCTTTTGTGTTTTCTACTATCACAGATAAGTGTGTCTTCGAGCCATTTCACATTCTGTGAACTTCGATGGAAGAGTAATTCCCTACAAATGACTATGGTGTCCCATTAATTATCTTCCAAAAGAAATAAATTCAGGTCATCCTAAGCTTGGTAGGATGAATAAATCAAAGCACCCCTATTTTCTTCTCCCTCTCCCTCCTTTTTACAAAAATATACTTTTGAGCTAATGCTAATAGCCATCTTGGCAGTCATTGTCATCATGGTCTCCAGTGGGTCGGTTATGATAACTGTCAACTACCAGCTTTCTACTTTCTACCTCGATGCTTCTGGACAGGCTCTCTTCATCACTAACTGATTGACTTTCATGAGAATTCACATTTTCTTTAAGCTTACTGTTTTCCTGAAATGCTCTGGCATCTTCTTCAGATTGAGTATTTCCCTCTCCTTGTAGCTGTTCAGAACTGCTTTCCCCACTGTCCTCCCTGGAGACACTTTGGCTCTCCACGGATGAGCTCTGAGACTGGAAACTTTCCTGGCTGGAGCTGTCTTCATCCTCAGTTGACTCTTTGCTTTCCTCTGAGGTGGTCACACTCTCGTTAGATTCACTGTCACTTTGTTCCTCTCTAGATTCGCTATCTGATTTGGAGGATGTGGTTAGATTGCTGTCTTCAGAGGAATTACTACTGTCTTCCTTATTAACTTCAGATAGACCAACAGTCTTTCTATCAGAGTCAGGGTTATCACCCCGTGAAATATTTTCATTCTCTTCCTGGGATTTACTTTGTTTTTCATGAGAATTGTCATTGTCGTGTCTGGACTCACTGCTGAGATCCTGCACATTTTGGCTGTCTTCCTGAGACTGACTGCTGCTTTCTTCTCGGGATTTGCTTTTGCTGTTTTCATGGGATCGGCTGTTTTCACGGGATCGACTGTTTTCATGGGATTGGCTCTTTTCTGTGGAATCACTCGTGGCTTCTTCCACGGTGTTGCTATCGTTGTTTTCATCCCAGTCATCCTCCTTTGAGATGCGTGCCTTTTGGAAGGAGTTCCTGTCAAGCTGCCCCACCAAATGGCTCACATTCAATGAATCTTGTCTATTCCCATCCTGACCTCTTGTCTTGTGAATCTTTCTCTTTGAATGGACGCTGTAACGGATCATTCTGGAATTACCTTCCTTGCTCCCAATGGTGTCTGCATCATCGCCTTGCATTCCTTCATCATCAAATGAAGAATCATCTCTGGAATTGCTGTAGCTTTGTTTACTTCCTACTCCCACAGTGTACTCATCACTGTCGCTGTCATGGACTCCCACCTTATGACTTTCATTCTCCTCTTCTTCAAGGCTTCTGCTGTCATGATGACTGCTTTCATGACTGACAGCATGGTGACTGGCACCTTCCCCATCGGCAGCACTATCTTCCTTGTGTAGAGTGCTGTCGGAATCATCATCACTTCCAGGCCAGGTGTTTTCACCTTCCTGTTGATGCCTTTCCATGGACCCCTGGCCATTGTCTACATCAACAAAAGTGTCATCTCCACTGTCATCTTCATCATCATTCTTATCATCATCTTTTATTCCACTCTTAAAGGAGCTATCAGATAGTCTATAAACAGTCTCTTGATCATTAAGGGCCAAGTCTTCCTTTGATTCAATACTATCACTATAGTCCATCTTGTCCTCATTTGTCTACGTGGAGAAATCAAGAGCTACAGTTAGCTTACAATAATTCAGAAGCCACTCATCTAATTGGTGGGTTTTCTAGACCCCTACTCCTCTTTCTGCCTTCTTCCTTATTTTCACTCATGGCCATATCACTATCCCTTAGCATTTTCACTACATACTTATGAGAGAATAGGAAAAAGACATCTACCATTTTGTCACTTTTTATAATATCCAAAATCCTGAAAAAGCTGTGTGGAAATTAAATGCCTGATTTCTATCCTGGTTTCATAGATTTAGGGTTGGAAGGGACCTTAAACAACATTAATCCAACCCTGTTATTTCACAGATGAGGAAACCGAAGCACAGAAAAGTTGGGGTGACTGACCCAGAGACACATGTCTAAGACAAGTAGCAGAGTTGGGATCTGAATCCAGGTTGCATGACTCCAGATCCAGAACTTTTTTTTCTCCACACATTGCATTATAGCTACATTAGGGAAACTTATTCTTTAGAGAAACTTTTCAGTTAATCATTTTGTGAAGCAAAAAATTGTTTTGTAAGGAAAAAGAATTCCCTCTCTGTGTCTTTATGCCAACTGTGCTTCTTGTCTCCCCACCTGGAATGTGCTTCCTTACCACTTCTTAGTGGTTCTAGCTTCCTTCAAAAGCTCCCCTCAAAAGGTAACCTCCTCTGAGTCATTTCCTGATGCCTCCCCATGCTGGTGCCAACACCTCATTACCTGTTTATTTTGCAGACATTTTGTATATGTGTACCTATTGTCTCTCTCAATAGAATACAATTTCCTTGAGGGCAGGGATTCTTTCATTTTCGTCTTTACATACCAATCGCCTACCATAAGGCTTGACATATAGTGAGCACACTTGTACTTGGAAGTAGCCATAGGAAAGAAAAACTTTGGTGGGGGAGGAGGTTGAAACTACCGTTTATTAAATAAAAGCATCAGTAGTGTTCTCATGGAATAACCCATTCAAATAGCACATTACAAAGCATATTCTTCATGAAAACCCTATGAAGTAAAGGTGTTAAATTATTATTATCCCAGTTTTACAAAAAATGGAAATTGAGATTTGGGAAATTAAGTGACATGCATGTTTTATATATATATATAAACATATAGAACATATGTTTATATGCTTATATGTGGCATATATTTATGTGTTGCATATGTTTGTATATACATAAATATATGTGTCACTTATTTCCTGAGTACATGTATACATACACACATATATGTGTGTGTGTGTTTGACATAGTCAAACAATTAGTAAGTGTCAAAGTCAGGTTTTGAACTCAGGTCTCCAGGATCCAGGCCAAAGGCAATTACTCTTTGCACTATACCACACTTCCTGTCCCTCTGGTCATTAGTATTGACAGCTACTGCTTGTAGAAATAAGCTTCAGCAGATCGTATTTTTCAGTCCTGAAAAATGCAGCGTGGAACTAAGATCTCTCACATCACCAGATGGGCAATGTCAGATTCCATTTTACGCCAAGTATGTCACAAAGCTGGCCATCAAGGGGACAAATAAGCCTTCTAAGAAACTAAGGCAAGGTGGACCACTCGGAACTCACTGGGCTCTGAAAAACCTTTTCCTGGCTTCTCCACTGATCAGTCAACTGCTGAGGCTCCAGTATAATCTCTCTTCCCTATTTATTGGAACCCTGGTTTCCAGCATTCTTCACACTAAGGCTGTGTTCATTGGTCGTAGATCTAAAATCAGAGGGAACCTTAGAGACCAGCTAATTCATCCCTCCTCCTTCACCTCACAGATGAGAAAACTGATTATTTGAGAGGCTAAGTGACTTGCTAAAAGTCACGTGATAGCCAGAGGCAGGATTTTAAGTTGGATCCTAGGACTCCAAACTCCAAAAGTATCTCTCCTTTAAACATGACCCTCAGATAATGAATTTAAAAGTCTTGGATACATTAGGAAGTGAAGATATCCTTCCATTTGTGCTTTCTGAAATATTTTGGGAGCATTTCCAAAGTTGTAGTTATTTCACAATGGAGCAATAGGCAATAATTCTCTAGCATTAGCAGAATAATCTGTGTCACAAGTAGCAGCGGATGTTATAGAATATTGACACAGAAAAGGGCCTTAGCAGTAATCTAGTCTAACCTCCATATTTTACATATGAGGAAACTGAGAGCCATAAAGGGGAAGATAGTACTTTTCTAGGCTGCCCTTTGTAAACTCTAAAGTTTGAGCCAAGCTTGTCACCTTGCTCTTCTTCACACACATCATTTCCCATTTCTACGTCTTTGCATCCCCTCCTGGATCACTGAGAAGCTGAATGAAACTATGAGCTATCTCATGCAGTTACCCAAGATGGAAAGGTCATAGTGGAGAGTTCTGACAAAAAAGTGACCCACTGGAGAAGGAAATGGCAAACCACTCCAGTATCATTGCCAAGAAAACCCCACAGACAGTGTGGTCCACAGGGTCACAGAGTCGGACACGACAACATTTAAACAGAAGCAGCAACAACAGGGCCCTCGCATGAGCTATCCCCAAGCCTAGAACATGTCCCCTGCTTTGCTCCACGTCTTGGAATCCAAAACTTCTTTCAAAACTCAGCCCAAGTGTCACCATGAAGCCTTTCCTAAACCACCTGGCCAGGAATACCTCACCCCAGAAGTTACTTTACTTGGTATTTATTTTTTGAATTAGAACCAGCCTAACATTGTGGATAGAAAACTGGATTCACTTGGCTTTGTGACCCTCAGTAAGCAGCTTAACCTCTCTGGGCTTCAGTTTTCTCCCCTGTAAAACCAAGGGGTCTCTGAGGTTCCTTCCAACTTGCTCGACTTGTAAGGGCTATACAAAACTCATTAAGACTTTAAGTTATAGCAAGTGTGAATATATATTGGTAAAGAGTTGCATCATTGGACATTCTCTATAACATCAGTGAAATGATAGGTCTGATCCAAAGAAAAATATTTTATATATAATTGAATATATTTCTCCTGATGAGAAATAAAATATAAGTCCCTGAGAGTAGGGATGATTTCATTTTTGCCTTTATATACAATGCCTAGAACTTCCACTCCCAGAGAACTTATTATTATTTACTTCTTTAGTCATAATCTCCACCACCTTGCTGCCCATTCTCTGGCAGGTTTATTCTCCAGAAAATCCTGCCCTGGTGGTGCGCCATTGTCCTGATGGGTGACTGTCTGTCAGGGAGGAAAGCTGAAGCCTTGCATGACTCCCTATTCTCGGGTGATTTCCTTTACAGCCTCATTAATTAGGTGCCATTTGCTTTCTTTTGCTTTCCTATTCCCCTCTTTCTTCCTCACATATGGTTGCCATTGTCTCCTGTCTCAGAAGCCATTCCACTTTGACCCAGAGGGCTTTCCTTACTTGATCCATCCTGATCCCAATTATAAAGTAAACAATTTTAGGGTGATCCAATGTTCCATCACTTTTCTGAACTCATCTATCATATTGCCACAGCTAGATTAGTAGCCATTTGTTAAAAACTATTTTTAATTGGAGGAAACTTATGGCTGTCAAAGTCTATAGGTTGCTTCCCCCATCCTCAACCCAACATTCAAAATAAAATACCAAAATGTGTTAGAATGACAGAAATGGCTTGTTTTTCCCTTTTTGGTACTCAGAATTATTGACTTTTCATGGTTTAAAAAATTATATTTAGAACAGTTTCCATATAATTTAAGTCATCACCATTTCCTTCAATGCATAAATAACTTAAATGTTAGGAAAGATTTAATTACCTGTTCCTTTGAGCTATCTTTACTTTCTTCTGATGACTCACTACTCTCCTGAAAGAAGGGAAGTACAATTCCAAGTTACTTTTTTTTTCCTTTTAGCAGTCATAGGAAATAGAAAAAGGACCTCATCTCCATTGCTTAAGGTTCAGGTGTATTATATTTCCCAAGGCCATGAAATGGTTCAAGGTGTGCTAAAGATTGCTTGGGGGAAACATGAGTCAATATAACAGGAAGGAGATAATTACCAAGGAGAGAACTGGTGTCGGTGCCAAATGATCCTGAAGAAAGAGGAAGAAAAAAAAAACTAAGTTACTTTTATATAAAGATTTTGTCACTACAAAGATTTAGAATTAATTTTAGATGATTTGCTACTCCCTTGATGAATAACTTACATGCTACATGAATAATCTGGAAATATTGTGAGGGCATGGTTTTAAAACAAAGATTCCTAAGAGACTGAATAAACAGTGGAGGATAAGAAACAAGAATAATTCCATTAAAGTAATATAATCTTAAAGCAGCCATTTTCAACATGGAATTTAATAGTGCACTATTGAATTCAGAGCATCACCAGATCTGTTATGGACACTGGCAGAAAGATGAACTCCTGAAGAATCCAAGTGAGGATACTTAAGGATTTTCTTATTAATCAATTAAATTCAACGAATCCTTATGAATCACCTCCTGTGCACAAGACGTGTTAAGCCTGCCACCGTCTGACATTGTGTTGCAGAAGAAAAGAGGCTGTATTCCAGACATTTGTTAAAGTGTGGCAGAAGCAACCACTCTCTGAATGTAGCCTACTTCCTTGTATGACACCCCCAAGGCTGCACAACTGGGAAGACCTTATCTTAAAAAGGCCAAGGTCTCCCACTGTATCCTGGGCCATCTCCAGTCGTCTTGATCTCTATCTGGCCACTGGACCCAGATGGCTCTGGAGGAGAAAGTGAGGCTGGTGACTTTGCACAGCCCTGCCTCACTTAAATCCACATCAATTGCAGGTCATAGCATCATCTTCCTGATGTCATGGTCTTCTTCAAGAATGAAGGACAAACCACACAACAACACTAAGGGAAAGGCTTAAGCTGTGCCTTGTTACATTGAGAGTATGAGCTGTCTGGCAGAATGTGATTCCGGGCAATTGTAGTATGGCATTGACAGGAAGACAGTAGGGGTGGAGAGGATAGATGTCCAAGGGAGAATAAGGAGAATCGTGTATTTATTCATTACTAGAGTTATTCTGCACTTAATATTATTTTTTGAATGACAATGACAGGAAAGATTTAGCAATATTCTGCATATATGTAAACATTCATCTACAGATGAGTCTTGGTCTGATTCCGGCCCTTCTCATCTCTCATTTGGACAATAACCCCATCATTGATCTCCCTGCCTCATCTCTCTCCTCTCCAATCAATCCTCCATATAGCTGCCAAAGTTATTTTCCTAGAGTGAAGGTCTGGTTCACTATCCACTGTGCCACCTAGCTGCCCCTTATTTTTTACATATTTTTACATATTTCTGTAATACCTGCTTGACTAGGCTCTCCCGCGGAGATTATAGATACTGTTACTTTGTAGGTTTGGACAGCTAGGTGACACAGTGGATAGAGTACCAGACATGAAGTCAGGAAGACTCATATTCCTGAGTTCAAATCTGGCATCAGACACTCGCAAGCTGTGTGTCCCTGGGCAAGTCACTTAACCTTGCTTTGCCTTGGTTTCCTCATCTATAAAATGAGCTGGAGAAGGAAACAGCAAACCACTCCAGTATCTTTGCCAAGAAAACTCCAAGTGGGGTCGTGAAGAGTTGGACATGACCAAACAGCAAAAATGTTGTAGGTTGTCTCCCTCAATAAAATGTAAGGTCCTTGAGGCCAAGAACTATTTCATTTTTGCCACTTTGCTGGGCACACAGTAGGTGCACATTAATAACTGCTTGTTGGTTGATTGATTCTATGCCCTTTATATTTATTTGACCATAACTTAACTTTAAGGTCATCTGGTCAAAACTTTTCATGTTGCATATGAAGAAACTGAGGCCCAGAGGGGCTGAGTGATTGCCTAAGGTCATACAGGTAGTAAATGGAAGCATTGGAATGTGAACCAGGGTCCTCTAAATCCAAATTCAGCACTCTATCCCTGGTGCCATATATTGTATCCTCCAACAGAATATAAGCTCCTTGGGGGTGGAGATGATTGCATTGCCTCATCTTTGTGTCTTAGTACCTAGCACATAGTACTTTGGGAGGTGGGGGTCTGGATCGTTGATTTCATTGGTGTAGGAAAGATGTCTCCAAACTATATTGATTACACACCTATATCCATTTAAAAATTTTTGATTATAGACCCCAATGTGGTTGTTTTTACTTGTACATTATCTTTATAAGGAAAAGGACTTATTAGTACACAAATATTTATAGCAGCTCTTTTTTGTGGTGGCTAAGACTTGAAAATGGAGAGGATGTCCATTAATTGGGGAATAGCAAAACAAGCTGTGGTATATGATTGTGATGGAATATTATTGTACCATAAAAAATGAGAGCAGAATGATGTCAGAAAAAGCCGTAAAGACTTACATGGACTGATGCATAGTGAAGTGAGCACAAACAGGAGAATGTTGTACACAGTAACAGCAATATTATATGATGAAGAATTGTGAATGACTTAGCTATTCTCAGCAATACAATGATCCAAGACAATCTGAAAGGAATCATGATGAAGCATGCTATCCTCCTCCAGAGAAAGGACTGATACTGTCTGAAATCAGACTGAAACATGTTATTTTTTACTTTCTTTTCCTTCCTTCCTTCCTTTCTTTCTTTTTCTTTCTGTCAGTCTTCTGTCTTTCCTTCTTTTTTATTTGAGTCTCCATGTATAAAATGACTAATATGGACTAATTATATTTTACATGATTGCACATATGTAAACTATATTGGATTGCTTACCATTTTGGAGAGGGGAAGGGGAGAAAGGGAGGGTTAAAATTTGGAAATGGCAACTTTTATTAAAAAAAGTTTAAAAATTTTTAACGTAACGGGGAAAAATAAAATATTACATAATAAATAAATAATCTTTATAAATTTAATTATAAATTATTAAATTAGTACCATGTGAATAACTATGAACATTATAAAATTTACACAAAAGATAAATGTTTAAAAGATGAGATATAGAAAAAATTAATATTTGACCTTATAGTCAATAGGGAGATGCTAAATTTTACTGAATAGGGGAGCAAAGTAACATGGTCAAACCTGCACTTTAGGAAAAATCATTTTGGCATCTGTATAGAGGTTGGACTTGAGGTAGAGAATTAGGAGGTTATTGAAATTGTACAGGCTAGGGGCAGCTAGGTGGTGCGGTGGATAGAGCGCTGGCCCTGAAGTCAGGAGAACCTGAGTTCAAATCTGGCCTCAGACCAAACACTTGACACTTACTATTGATTGGATATGTGGGGTGAATAAGGTTAAAGATGACATCAATCTTATAAACCAGAAGTTTGGTAGTATCCTTAACAGAAATAAGAAAGTTTGGAAAAGGGGTGGATTTTGGGGAAAAGATAATATAACTAAATCTGAGATGAACCCATCTATGCCTGTTTATCCTGTGAGATATATGCCTGTGAGATATACCACCCCAAATGAAAGTGAGGAATGGAATTCTCACTTACTGGCCACCATAGCTCCAATCGTAGATTTTATCTCCAAAGGGTACCTGCAAACCTACCAGGTGATCTGGAGAGCAGAAAATGAGTATGCTGAGGGAAGGGGAGAGATGATTTCCCCAATGGCACTTATGTAGTTACTGCTGTGGGTTCCTGGTTAGGATATAAGGGCCTCAAAGGACCCGATTCAGAAAGGGGGAGAAGGGAGCTTATATAGTGGAAGAACAGAGCAGTTAGTGGGGGCTTTGGGAAGCTAGAAAGGGGAATTTCTTTGGAGATGCACCCCATGATTGTCTATCACTGAGAAGGTGAGATGAGATTCATCTTCCTGTTCTTTGATTTCACATTCCTTGGGATTAAATCATTTTCTTTTTGGGGGTCAAGCTATGGCCCCTCAAGGGTTTCTGGGCTATACTTTAAAGACCACAGGTATGAAGAATTTTTGTTAAGAAAACTTGCCATGAAAATAAATATCAGCACCTTCACTGTCACTGAGAAGTTGACTTGCCCAAGGTTATATGGTGATTATATGTCAAAGGCGTTACTTGAATCCAGACCTTCCTGACTGCAAGACTGACTCTTCATGTACCAAAACATTTTGCTTCTCTTACTATACTTAATGATCACTAAACCAGCAATTTAGTCACCATCTAAAGAATAGTTTTCATACCAGTTATAACATTCAAATGTTTCAAAAACTTCCTAGTTGTGTGACCTTGGGAAAATAACTTAACCTCTTTGTCTCAGTTTCCTCTTCTGTAAAATTAGAAATAATAATAGCACCTACCCCCCAGCACTGTTGGGAGGGTCAAATGGAATAATATTTGCAAAGCACTTAGCACTGTGCCTGGCACATAGTAGGCACTATGTAAATGCTAGTTATTATTATTATTACTATTGTCATTATTTAGAAACATATCCTGCTCAACTTACCTTCAATTCTTCAGAACTCTCAGAATCTGTGTTTAGATATTTGGTGACCTACATCAATGGAAAACACACAGTGAAACATTCAGAACAGTTTTTCAGGGAGGTGGTTAGTTATATATGGCATGCTCAACCCACCCAACACGGAGGCAGACTACTTCCCTGCATTCCACTACCAAATGGGGATGAATAAGCCTCCTTGCATTGGCTGTGTAGTTGGAAGATGCTACTTCTTAAAAACTGCCAGATTGGGACAGTCTTGCTTTCTTTCCTGTGTGCTCTTTCCTAATGTGTCCAAAATCACACAGAGGTCATCTACAGCATAAGAGTCATGAACTAAACTGGGAAGGAGGGAGATCTTCTTTTCCTTCTTTTTTTTTTAATTCATGGCTCAGAGAGATGGACCTGGGGTATTTCCGTTTCCATTCTGTTTCATTTATCTTTCTCATTTTCAGATACAAGTAGTTATACCCACTACAACTGAATTTGAGTCATGGTGAGTGACTTTGGGGCGAGGAATCCAGTTGGGCCAACTGAGAAGCCAGGGTGCCTAAGACTTGAACCTAAGAAGGGCTTTGGATTTGGAATTTAGTACTGTGATCTCTAGAAAGTGAACTAAGCTAAGAACCTAATCCTTTCCTCCTCCCCAGAAACTGAGGTGGTATAGAAAAGGGAATAAGCCCCATGTGCCGGGGAATGATTCTGTATCTTTGTGATTATAACTTTGAAATAAATATTCCTTTGTAAAAGTTACAAAGGAAGCTATTTGGCTGTTAGTGGGTAAATGGAATTGGTGTATTGCAGATTCATCCTCTACAATTGAAGGAACACCGTGAGTAGAAGCTAGAGTCAATGTCAAATAGCCTAAATCCCTTTAAGGGGACTAGAAAACCTTGCAGAGAAGGGTGAAATGTAACATATCTGGCTTTCAGAGACTGGAGCCTGAGTAGACAATGCTTCATGCACGGGCACACACACGTGTATATATGCACATATATGTAAATACATGGTACTTTAAAAACATTATGTATAATTTACACATATTATATTATATTATGTATATATTTAATTTAATACTTCATACATATAGTTACTGGATCCATGACTTTATTGGAATGGGAACACTCAGTGAGGGAACTTCTATCAATGTAAATTAGGTCTGTGACTTATCTTGGACACTTGCCCAGAATTAGCCAGCCAGAATCTATCAGAGGCAGGATTGAACCTAGTTTTTTTTGTGATTTTCAGGCCAGCTCTCATTGTACCAAAGGACAGATGCCATAAATGCCACCCGCACCCCCAAATCAGAAAGCATCACACATGGAAGCTTTTCATTAAGCATCTTTAATTTTACCCAAATGGAGCAAGTTTGATGGTCTATGTTCAGGTTGGTGAAAATTTGGTGCATGTTTGGAAGGCTTGATTCAGAAACTGCCAGAAAATCTCTACTTACAGGAAGAGCACAAGAGAACCCCCAAAAGAAAATCAGCAGAAGAGTGGTCTTCATAATTGATAATTAAGATGCTTTCAACCTATAAGGAAGAATGTACATGAATACGCTATCTAGGATAATAAGATGTGTCATTATGTAAAAACCATTAACATTCTAAACACTTCATCTTTTAAAAGTCTCATTTGTAACAAATTCTGTTAAGTTTCAAAGTCTGAACATTTTGAAATAAGAGCCACCACGTACTGTTTTCATTTTCTTTTAAATAAATAAATGGGAAATGAGAAATCCAACACTCTTCACTTACATAAGGATTATGCAACCAAGGAAAACTATACCAAGTTCTTAACAAATTCATTCTAGCCCCACTAATGTAATCTAAGCATATACTCATGAACATTATTCTTCCCATAAAAGCCACTGGTACTCCAGACTCCAATTTTAGAACCACAGAGATAATTTAGAGACAAAAGTGGGTGGGTTTCTGTTTTAATTTGGAAGCAGATGTTGCATGCACTTTGTTATTACAAACTATATGTTATTACAAATTTTTATAAGTCTACTAAGTAGACTTACATAAAGTATCCCAGTTCTAGCAAGTTTTAATGTCCATTTTGGTGTGCAAGTTATACTATGCTAATTACTTGTAAATATCTTCCAGATTACCAAAAAAAATCTAAGAATCATTATTGGTTTCCCATATATTAGAAATATGACCAAATATGACCTCTTTTTTGCCCTCAAGATGACTTCACTAACAATTCAAGACATTGAGGGACATGAAAAATAAGTTCATAGTCTAAAATTTGCTTGTTAGTTCAAAATAAATTAGGATAAAAATATTAATAAAACAATGTAAATATCTGCTATAGAAATTTGGAAGTCATGTGCATTGGTATGAACATTCAATTCACGGGATTTGAATTATGGGAAAGAAAAGGAAGAGAAGGGGAAAAGGATAGGAAAGGGGAGGCGTAAGGAAGGGAGGGGAAAAGAGGGGGAAGAGGGGAAAGGAAGGAAGCGGAGTGAGAGTGGGAGGGGGAATGGGAGGGAAGGGAAGGGGAGAAGACAGAGGGGAGGAAGATGATGATGACTCAGTAGACCTTTAGAAGGAAGGACATCTTATAATTTAATCTCTTGCTTTGTTTCATGTGACAATTTTTATGACATGTCTCAGCTATGCCCCTGACAAAGGTAAAGGGATCATCTGTGCTTTCATGCACATCAGACCAGTGCAACCACATAGAGGACAGATACAACTTGGTGAGCTTGTGCCTAGACACCAGACTGTGTTTTCAACTCTGTTAATTTCCCCGAGCAGATGACCAAACAGTAGCCTCAAGGTGGAAGAGTCCAGGCTTGGAGGTGACCTAATTAGTTCAAGAGGTCCATAGATCCTAGGTCCAAAGAATGGATCTGGCTGTTGCCAGGAAAAGTTTCTGCAACAGAAAGGATAGGTCCAAGCCTGTCTGTTTTACCAGCAGACATGTTGGTTTGCAGAGTTGTTTAGACATTCAGGACCAAACGAAATGTAAAATGCCAAATTAGCCGTCCTGCATACTGTTTGATGTTCTGATAAAGTTTAAGAATCAATCTTCTGAAAGAGTATTACTGTAATTACAAGTTACGATGTTGAATCCCATTTTAAGCCTTCTCTTTCGCATATGAGAGTTGTGTTTTAGCATTTCCTTTGTGTGGAAGAATACCTGATTCCTGTTGTACCTTTCTGCTTTCCCTTTTGAGGAAAACATAGTCATTAGCCTAAAGCTAAGCCTTAAGCAATTTAAGCCAAATGACAAAAAGAAATTTAGCTTCCATCTTCTTAGGAGTCAAACTTCTGTAGTACTGAACCCAGTCCAGAAAGTGTTCCTGACTCCAGAACAGAGGTGCCTTTTAGGGAGAGGAAATAGGTGGAATTCCAGCACCTGGGGGCTCCCCAGAAGCTCCTTGATATTAGGTAGTAGGATCATTAACTAAGAGCTGGCAGTAACCTTAGAGATCATCTAAATCTAACCTTTTCTTTTTAAAGATGAGGAAACCAAGAGCCAGGGAAGTCAAAGGTAACCCAACTTACATGTACAAGGAAATTCAAAGGGTTCCCTATAGCCACCTTATGGTTTAGTTATGTCTGGACAACAAAGAGAATGATAAAAATTTAGAGGAAAAGTTCTCAAAATTTCAAATCAAATGGCTTCCACTCCAGAGTTTAAATGGGACTCAAGTGACTCTTTTTGTGAACTTTTAAAGGAAGAAGAGAGATCATTGGTGAAATTATATTAGTGAAATTGGAAGCCAGTAGCTGTTGTAGTACAAACTAAAAGGTCACTGAAAATGTGGGTTTCATCTTGCCCTCATTCTCCACTTCCTTATCCATAAGGAAAAGGGGACATTGTTGATTAAATTTGAAGCCAGGGATGGAGGGGCTGAGAAATGACACGGTCTCCAAAAGTTATGGTTTGCTCCTTTATAAGCTACTTCTTGGCCACTTCAAGACTATTAATTTACTCCCTTTAACCACTAAGGATATTTAATATACTAAAGCAATACTTTGCTAAGAATTTGGTAACCTTGGCAAGCACTAGTATGACCATCTTAAGTTATGTTTTAACTTCAGTGTTTTTGATGGAAGAATTTGACTTTCCTAGTGTTACAGATTTCTAAATGAAAAATAATAGTAAACATTAACTATTGTAATGAAATAGACTCAAACGGGTAAAGGACTTTATTCTGTACCTGGGCAAAGTAAGTCATAGAGGCTGGCAAAATCATCGATGCACAAAGAGGAGACCTGCCTTCCAGATCTTTGCCATCAGCAGATGGCAGTCCCCTTTTATAGTGATGTCAGAAAGCACCATAAAAGAGTTAAGAAACAAATATTTCTTAAAGGCACTATGCTAGATAGACTTATATAAAGTAATATCTAATTGATAAGATTGCATTTTTAAAATACTTTACAGAGCTAAGAAAAACTTTAAGAGGTTCTGGGCAAGAAAAGCATTTTAAATGATAAAATGTCGGCAGATTCTACCTTGGGCTAGATTTGTGATTTAAATGTTATGGGGAAATTCCCTTGAGGAAACTTTCTACTAATCCAGATTGACATCTATTCTGCCACTCAGATAGTCTGAAAGGGTTACCCAGGGCACTGAAAGGTTAAGTGACTTGTCCAGTATATGGGGGGGGAGGGGAAAGGACTTGAATTCAGGTCTTCCTGACTCCAAGGCTTGTTCTCTATCCACTTGCCATGCTAGCTCATCTGAGATGTTTAGGTATTCAAATTTGTGCCAGAAATTCTGTAAAATCAAGATTCACTTACAAGATGATAACATGTGACATTTATATAGTTTTGCATGCAACATGACTTACTCTCATTATCACATTTGCTCTTCATAATGCAGATAATTATCATTCCTTTTTTACATATAAGGAAACTGGCTCAGAGACGTTAAGAATTTCTCAGAGAACTGTCTGAGGCAAGAGTCAAACCGAGGTCTTTCTGTCTCTAGTCGCATATCTACCATGTTTATTTATAAGGGAAGAAATAACCCAAAAGGAGAAAATAAAAGGAAAAAAAAAGAAGTTAAGTTCTTTTCACTCCTTAAAAAAGGTTGATATGAATTCGATATGTAATCTTATGTGCAAATTTAGTATCTGGAGGCACACTTGAACAGAAATGGTTTTTAATGTCATCCTCCAATCTCCATTCAAGTCCTAAGCCATGAGTCTGGGCTGTCAAAGACTATGGCAGGTGAGTGCAAGCTCTATCAGATGCTGCCAGCTGGAAGGTCTGGGTCCTGAGTAGACGTTTACTAAGTGTCTACTATGTGTTGGTCTTTGAGAATCAGATGTGGTTAAACAATTCATCATCTGAAGTTAATCTGATGAAAAGTCTCTCTGAATATGGCTAGGCTGCTTCCTGGCCAATGTACCTGCAGATGATGAATTGTTTAACCACATCTGATTCTCAAAGACCAACACATAGTAGACACTTAGTAAACGTTTATTGAATTGAATTGAAAAGACCATGTACTAAGCCACAGAAGAGGTTGACTCTGTATCACTGGGGCAAGCACTCACTCATGAAATTATGGATCTTTGATTTAAAAATAAAAAAAGATAAAAATAAAATCTACGTTTGGAAGAACACAGGCAACTGTAGGCTCCAAGGTGCTTGAAATAGGTTTCTGCTCTCTATTGGAGGCAATAAGTTTCAATAATACAAATTCATATCAGGTATTTACTCTAAATCGAACACAGTTGCTAGGTTTGTCCCAAGACCCCCAAAAAATCAACTCATTCTCCAGTATTTTCTACATCTGGATGTATGCTGTGTTTGGACTGATAATCTCTGAGGTGCTGCAGATTCAATCATGTTCAGTATTTAGCAAGAAGTATACTGAACATGTATACTAAACTGTTTTTTAAAGTTATAAAGGTTGAACAAAGGGGTTTCTAGTTATCCCTCAGTTAACAAGAAAATCCAGTTAACCAGAATGTAAAACTCCATGAGAATTTGGGCTTTTCTGCATTGTGCCTCTTATACATGGAGCCATTGAATAACTCCCAGAAGGCAGGGTTTATGAAAACATAATACTGAGATAGGTACACTTGAATGAGGAACAACTCTCTGGGCCTCTAATACCTTATCTAGGTTATCTCTGAAGTTGCTTTCAGCTCTAAATCTTATGAATTGTTACAGGACATTTGGCAAAAAAATGGAAGGGTGGATGTTCTGGACCTGTGATTTCATCAATTGTAGGGAACTTCCCTGAGACATCAGCAGCTCATCTATAATTTAAGGCCTTAAAAATTTGCCTGGGACACTGAGAGGTCAAGGGTCTTGCTCATGATCTCTTAGCGTATGTCAGAGGTGGGATGTGAAACAATGTCTCCTTTACGTCCTATGCCACGCTGCCTTTGCCCTCTTAGTTCCCTTTCTCCTTTTCCTGAAAGACAGGAACAAATATTTTTAAACCAAAACATAAGTGGAAAACAAAGCATTTCTTCACTTGTCAGTAGACAAGTCTTTTTTTCTTCTAATATTCAGCTAAACAAAA